TAATCTATTCATCTGTTGATGGACACTTGAGTACTTGAGTTATTTCCATCTTTTGGCTACTGTGAATACTGTTGCTGTAAACATTGATCATGCCAATTAATGAATTAAATTTCGTGTATCTCAGGAATTAAAGAGGCAGAGCCAGCAACCTGTTTCTTCCCTAGTCTTTGAAGTTCAGCTTACAAAACTTTTTATTCTAGATATGTCTTAACTGTCACTTTTACGGGGTTTTTATAATAATGATACTTCCACTTACAAACTAATTTGATTAAATACTTACAAAATTTTAAGCTCATTTCCAAAGGCAATGCATTCAATTTCTTCTGGAAGTCTTTCAATTTTCAGACAAACTTTCAGAGCATTTATGTGAGTTCATACAAGTAGTCCCCAACTTACGGTGGGACTACAGTCCTGTGACAGAGGTGGAATCTCTCTCTCTCTCTCTTTCTTTTTCAGTTTCCACCATGATTGCCTTTTATCCCTTTCATGACTCAGTTATTTTCTGCTTTGAATTTTGTGTTGATGCTGTGTTGTTATTTTTCAAACTTTTTAAATTGTGAATGAGTTTTCTGTTTGACAATTCACACATATTTTGTTTCATGCCATTGATTGCAGTCCCCTCAACGTACCATCACTCCCCCCACTTCCTCCAAATGTTTCTCATTTCCATCTCTCCTTCTCTCATAACCTCTCCTGCCTTCTGAACCTTGGTGAGTGGTGACTCGGGTCTTAAAAGCTTGTGGGCTCCAGCTAAGGTACACCTATTGGTCTCTCCTCATCCAGAGCAAAGAAGAGTGAAGAAAATCAAAGATACATGGAAGTAATTAGTCCAAAGGACTAATGGACCATGCAAACTTCACCGTCCATGACCCTGAGACCAGAAGAACTAGATGGTGTCCAGCTAGCACTGCCAACTACCATATATATATATATATATATATATATAAAGCAGCATTACTGGTTGGATAAAGATTGGTGGAGTCCCCAAGACTATATGGCCCTTGGTCAGCCTTCAGACCTGGAACTGAACTCATTCTCATAGTCGAATTTTCAGTCAAACCTTAGACAGGTCTTCAAGGTGCACAGTAACTCTAGGAAGGTGGACAGTCCTTAGATAACCAGCCATTCGTGACCAAAAGGGCACTGGGTTAGGCTTGGCTCTCTAGAGAAGCAAAACCAGTAAAGCTTATAAATACACATAGACAAATTTATCTTAGGAAAATGGCTCACACACTTATAGAAGCTGGCAAGTCCCAAGTTCTTGGATCAAACGTCAAGCCGGAGGCTTTTCCTGACTCACATAGCTGCAGGGGCTGAGGAGCTCGAGGTTGGCAGACAGTACACTGGCTGTTGACTCCAACGAATGATGAATCCAAGATCTCCAGGCCGAATGGTGGATTGTTCGCTCACAGACAGTTGTAGGCAGCACAACAGAATCCCGATCCACAGAAGAGTGTCTCTTTTCCCAGGATGTCCGTAAATATACTGGAAGCAGGCCACACCCCTAGGGAAACTCCCTTTCGACGGATTGGCTGCTCAAAATATATCCCTCCAATCCCATCATGGGAATAATCCACATCACAACTGCTTAAACCCCCAGAATTGTGGTCCAGCCAAGGTGACGCACAGCTCCAACCATTACAGGCAACATTTGCCCAAGAACAAAGTTCAGAAGGCAGGAAGCCTGGTTTTATTAATGGAAGGATGGTGAGTCATTGAGAGTGTCTGAATTTTTGATAGGTAGTATGGATTTTTTTTTTTTTTTTCCTTTGCCTCATCCCCAAAGCCTACCCTTACAGTCCTTAGGGACATATGTGTCCCACAGTCTCTATACCTGGAGTCCTCTCAGAGTCCACAGGAATGAATATATATGTCTCAAACAAAAAATTTCAAAATTTTTATTTTTCGTACTAAAAATTCAGATATCTCACATAATACCCTGTAAAAACGGTAATTTGCAGTACATGGCTTTTCATTGTTTTCAAGCTGCTATTCAGGCCCCTCCATGACTGCATGCACTCTCACTAGGAAAGCAGCTTGCCAAGCAATGTGAGAAGTGGAAATATTGGTGAGCAACTGTGTACCCTAATGGTCATGAAAGAGTTATTGTCAGTATCTTGAAAAATCTGGTCTTTATTTGTCTCTGGGGTTGGAAACATTACATATAAACTTATAGATCTATTTTAATACATGCATTCATGCATAGTACTACTAATAAAAAAAACCAACTCACTGCGGATGAAACCCTCCTTGGGTTTCTGAATATCAGTATGGAAGTAGATTGCCGAATCTTCCTTCTGAAGAGTGGCTGGTGGATTTGAACCACCAGCCTTCTGGTTAGCAGTCAAGTGCCTTAGGCACTGCGCCACCAGAGCTCACACCTTCATAGGAGCAAAGCCCAAACCAAACCCAGTGCCTGGAGGGGATTCTGACCCACAGCGCCCCTAGAGGACAGAGTGGAACTGCCCACAGGGTCTCCAAGGCTGTCAGTCTTTAT